CTCTAGTTAAACTACCTTGAATGATGATTAATCTTCCTTATGCTTGTTTGCCAACGAAGCAAAAGCAATGTCCACAACTGGGTCATTCGCGAGAAAATCGCGCACTGGAACTAAGTCCTTCCATCGAATTAACTGCAAGACTTGGATTAATTAACTCCTCTTAAACGACGATTCGTCTTTCTCCAACGTCGTTTCTATGTTCACACAGATTCAATTTCTCAAAATCCAGCTAGACGATTTTCCAGGAATTCATTTCCTATCGGTGCTGAGAGAGATTTTATCACGTCTTGATAAATGCTAAATGACAAATTTCTTTTTTTTAACTATTCAACCATTTGTAGATATTTTTTTTGGATTACTTGTAATAGTGGATGAGGTGGAATTCCTTTAATTATTTTACTTTTTAATTTATTGTTGAAATTATTTAGGCAGAGTAATTGTTGATTTTTGGGAAATCTGCTTACACATACCTTGGGAAAAATTTCAATGGTACAACTGTAAATGTTAATTGCAACGTTTAAAGTCAGTCTTAATTCTTGTTATTATAGTGACACGAAGTGAATCGTCATCCCATCTGTCGGAATTGTCCCTGAACCGTGATCGTTAATTAGTAGGATAAGTCAGAAGCCAGAGTTGCCCTGGTCTAGTGAACAAACTAATAATTCCACTATTATGAAAAGGACGAAGATATGAGCATCCTTTTCACTCCAATGGAATTTTTTAGTTAGTCCACTTGCCACTAGAACCCTGACCGGATTTAAGAAAATTCAACGACTGGCACAATACTGGTTTAGACTTATTCATCAAAACAACTTTTAAATTTTTCGTCTAGAAATAGCCGTTGTGTAGAAAAAAAAATTTTAAGTTTTGAATATGGTTTAGACTTACTCATCAGGACAACTTTTAAATTTTTTTGTCTAGAAGAGAAAATTGATGTTTTGTGTTTCACATTCACAGTTAAACTGAGACTGACTCAACGACGAATTGGAGGAATCAAAAGATAATTTCCACCCAAACTTCTAAATAATTTTACAAATCACAAATATCTTTTTCAAACCAAAAACACGAATGTAGACAATACATTTACGATTTATCGGAGAAAGGAGAATTATTCAAAACTAAATTCATCTAGTTTAACGGATATCGTCTGTTTCCATATTGTTCAGATATTCGACATAAACGCCAAGTTTCTGATATTTTCCATTTTCTAATGGAGATTCGAGGTATCCTGGCATTGCATTGCCTACGGTGAACATTACTGGGTTTCATCGTCGATTTCAAACTGAATTTTATTCAGTTAGCATATGGAACATTCCTATTCGTACCATGTGTATAGCCTTTCTATCAAACATTACGGATTATATTATCACATGTATCGTTCTCAATTTTAAAAATCTTCTTAATTCTAATATTTATTATTAGGCTTAAATTTAAGAAAAATTTTAATTGTAATAGCCTTGTAATGATCTTAGTTTTTATTGCTCGTCGTAGATCTTGTAGTTCTTTAACTTTTTCTAAAAGGTCCCATGATTTTGAAAACCATCGGTTTCGAAAAATAGGTAAAAGACTTCGTTGTCATTAAGTGGTTCTTCCATGGTATATTCTTTCTTGATTATAGACGAGCGTCTTAGAATGGTAGTAATCAAATGAACAATTTCGCAGAGGAATTATTATTATATACCAAAAAAAGAAAATCGAGAAAGAAGGAGAAAAAGCAGTCTTAAAAAATGTTGAATTCTGGTCCTTATTTAAGCGATGAATGTTGAGAGGTAAATGGAGTGAAAGTGTCAGAGTTTAAAAAGAGTATATAAATGTCGAGCTGAAGTCATTAGAAATAGCTACGTAATTGCAGTGAAACTTGACTAAAATAGTAACACAGTTCTCGACTTAATTAAAGTAATTATGATTTTTTAAATTACAGTTTAAGATGTAAAGGTGGTGCAATAATTTTAAGGCAGTTTTTCGAGGTTTTTCATCCTTACTTCATCTTATGCAAGTTACAAGGGCCGTCAGTGTCTCCCTTATTTTATCCGGCTCATAATCCCAACCGCTGAGTCCAACCGAGCCAAGTACTTCAACTTGCCACAACACGAAGGACGTTCGTTACTTAAGTTTATTAGCATGAAAAGTACATTCGTGGCGCCCGCAGTAATTGTGCACCTGCCGCAAGAAGGGCCGACAAAGTACCATCTTACCATGCGGAAATGCTATTTAAAATGTGGTTACATTTACATTGACGACGTTTTCTAGAATTGTTGTTTTCCGTTAGCACTTTTTCATTTACCTTTACACAATTCATTTCTATTCTCGTTAACACAAAAACAGAACTTATTCTCTCTTGTACTAATTTCACACAAAAAACATTGCATCGCTTCAAAGCTTTTGTTGTTGAATTTTTTACCGGATTGCATGTTCCACTAATACTTGATTATTTATAAATAAACTTCACGTCAAAAAGCTATTGACTAAGTGGAATTCGAGGAAAAGTTTTCACCTCTCGAAAATATTTCAACAAAATCCATCGACTGTGGATACTTTTAAATTCAGTTATTATGACAAACAATATTTTGCCTGTGGATTCTAGTTAAAAATTTCTAGGGTCTCTCTAAAAGAATTTTTAATTGGAGAAGTACGACTCATTATAAAATACCCATGTGGTTTTTTTATTTTGTTTTCAAATACAAAAATAGTTTTCTAAATAAATACAAATTGTTTTATATTTTTCTCCTTATGGTAGCAGTAAATTTTTTATGTGAAAGTTTCTAATTATCTGAAATTATTATATAAATATTTAATGGTAGCAGTTAATTTTTCGAGTTGAATCTTTGTTCGGTTTAGGTTAGCCATAAATTCTTAAGCTAGCAAGAATCGGTTATATAGCTTTTGGGTACTGCAAACATTCAAAAGATGCGTGCCTTCTACAATGGCGTACAAACCATCTTGATAATGTAGGGTTTCGGCTTCTATGTAATTATTACCTATTTAGCTCCTCTAGTATCTAAAGTGTAAATCGATACATTTTCACGCTATCACAAAAATGTTTTCGAATTACTTTGGACAATTTTACATTCCAGGTATTTTAATAATTATTAATTTTACTTATTAATGAATCATTATAATGTATATCTTAAAGTATGGAGTTATATTTGAAATTATTTTTCGAATGAAACACTTTTCGAATATTTAATGCAAAATAGTTGAAAAAAGACTTATGATACTAAAAAAACGAGGAGAGAAGATAAATCTTGCTCAATGGAAAGACTCTACGAAAGCGATAGCTTTAGAAGATTTGCAACTCTTAGAAGAAGATAATCCAAATTCAAAGATTTCTGAGATTGAAAATGATAATATTGAAAACTGAGGTGACCAAGAAGAAATTTTAAAAGCAGGCCCTGGCGAAGGCGTTGAGGAAATTACCGAGCAATTGGTTCTCTACCTCATAATCCAAAACCTTAAGGGGTAACAAAAGCAAATCGTAAGCATGTCAAATATTCTTATGAACCATGTTCATATAGTAAAAGATTTCCTGAAATATTTTTAAATTATGAGCAATATTGCATAGTATCTACAGATTCCTTACCTTAAAGGAAAATACCGGACGTTACGTTATTGCTTCTAAGAAAGCAATAAAAATAAACATCCATACTATGCACATAAATGTTAGAAAATATTTAAAATAATGAGTCTTGTAAAATATATTAAATAAATTAAAAATACTGACTATACTGTAAAATCTAGTACCGCTTGACACTCTTGCTTCAACTTCTGTCCTGAATGGATGGTCAGGGAGCCCATGCAACTGTTCCCAAAGGTTTTTGGGAATTCAAAGAAAAAGGAATTATTAGTTCATCTGATTTGTGAGCCGGTTATGTAATGTTCACTCTTTTCATCGAATTAATTTAATCGCCATTCATCGATGACTATAATTTTTAAGACCGGAAAAGGAAGGGGAGTAATAAGAATCTTTTGATTTGAGAATGTCTGCGATGATGAACATAAGACAATGCCTTTTGGGAATTAAGGAAAAGGGAAACAAATTATCAGTTCATCTGATTTGTGAGCCGGTTATGTAATTTTCAATCTCACCATCGAAATAAACTTAATCTAAATTCTTCGATAACTATTATTTTTACGGCCGTAACATTCCAAGTCCGAACAGTACATGTAAGTTTACTCCTTGTTTGGTTAATTGAACAAGTAACTATTATCACCAGATTTATGAGCCGGTCACTAGTATAAAATTATTGCTTCAACCATCGTAAATTTACACTCTAATCCCAGTGAACGATTTTGCAAACGTGACGCGTGTGCTTTTCGAGGATTACGAACTAAGAACTGTGGGAAATATCAAATGTATCGTTAAAGCGTTGTAAATACCTCATTATTCGTTAGGATGGTATGATGGGCATCCCTTAATTTAATCATCAATTCCATTAGAATCTTAATAACTAATTAACAAAGTCCGACATCAAAACTATTAATAAGTGATTTGGATCAATGGAAAATCTGTTATTTTCTGTAATAACACGTTACATTCACATTTTTTATTTGCAATTTTATGGTTGTTCTACAATGGGAGCCATTCGAAATGACGCGAGATATCGATGTGACCCCGATTCTCTATCTATGCGCGCGCATCAATTACCATCTGTCGGAATTATAGAGACGATAAAAATTAATTTTTACTCTCTTTTCACTGGAAATTTTTTCTAATAATTTCGTTTTCATTTATTCATTCATTTTGTCTGTCAGAAATTATGGTGGGAGCAGTAAGTCTCCTGATTGAAGAATTGAAGATTTTACTTTGTTTTGCAGGGGTATTTTGAAAATTTTGAATCTAGTAAAAATTATTTCAATACATTTTTAATTACTTTGATATTTTTAATAATCATCTTGTCTTAGAAGGTAAAAAAGTAAAGAATTATTAAAAATATAAATTCTAAAATTTTGAGTAGAGAAAATAAAAAAATAGAAAAAAATCTTTGGCGTTGAGTACTTACTGTAAAGGTAGATGACAAAGAAGGTGGCATACATCATCCTGAAGTGCATACATCCATTTCCTCTTTCATTATGTCGTAAATTCATTCTTCTCGTTTCGATAAGCCATCGTTCTTGATTCATTTCCTAGAATCTTGAGCCTCTAGAATTATTTTATGTGCGTAATCCTTCTATCCCAGTTGGCTTAATTGAACCCTGTATTTATCATGAAATTTAACGTTTATATTTTTACTTTTAACTTCCCAAAAAATTGATTTTTTTTATCAAACAGTATATTTTTGGAATTTATAACAATTACCAAAATGTTGCCACAGGAACTAAAAATCTCGACTTTTAGAAACTTTCAATTTTTCAAGAAATACAATAATTTTTAAATATTTAATTGTTTTTTTTGTTACGAATTGGAAATAGAAAAAATGCTGTCGAAATTACCTAGAATTTAAAATTAGTCCGCCATATTGGATCCGCACTAAAATATTTTAACCTTTCACTGAAATATTCAGAAAATATTATATGCTATGTGAGTGCAAAGGTAATTTCATAAATTTTGTTAAGTTATGACATAACAGTAGCATATAACTAACGACAAAATATAATTACATGAAATCCGCCTAGGAGTACGGAATTTAATATTTAATAAATTACGCTACTAATTTTACTAAAAATAAATTTTTTTTAAAAAATCCGCTACAAATGTCTCTTGCGCTCTTAATTACTGAAGCATAATCGAAACGATAATGGCTTCAATTTTCGGACGAATGCAATTAGTAGTCTACAATGCAGGAACGCAATTTCGAAGTAGAGAACGATCGTAATTTCATTTTGATTGAATTCACGCGTTAAAACCAAACGCAGTAATGCATGCGGTACAGAAACGACTCTCGAGATTCTTTCATTACTCGAGAGGCGCGCATCATCATCATCATCATCACGAAAATCGAATATCAATGCACTTTTTTCTCTCTCACAATTCTTTCGCTTCACAATTTTTTATCTTCGAAAATTCTATTAAACTGATAAAGTACATTAAGTTTATGAAACAATCTAATTGGCATTTTCCATATTAACTAACATTCGATACTTAATTCTCACAATTGTGTCAAAATGCTTTTATAAAATGGAAGCTGAAACTTTTTAAATAGTTCAGTTCTTTATTTATATAGAATCGTATTAAACTGCGAAACTGATTAAAATTCTATTGCCGTGATCGTCTTACTTGTTTATTGAAAGGAAAAAAGATAAAAATACAAAAAAGTTTGTTTGCACAGTTTGTCTGAATTTTATTGCTACAATAAAATTTTAGTTAAACATTACAAAAGAATACAAAAAATTTAAGAATTTAATTATTTCATTTACTGTCAAGAAATTATAGACATTTATAAAATTTGTTTCCGGAACTCCTGCATTTTCAATCAGATATTCAAAATTCAAAATGGCGGATCTAATATGTCCGACAAAAAAAATATAAGTATAAAATAACTTCGCTTTAAACATTTTACTATCAAATTTGCTTGAAACTCGTCGCTTAGGTGTTTTTTAGGTAATCACACATTTTCGAAATAGTTTTTTTAATTTTTTTTGTAAATATTTTCACCAATAAAAAAACTTTCACTTTAGAATTTGAACGTTTATTTTTTTTTAACTTCATATTTCAGAGTAAACATTTTTTTGACCCTTTATTATTACATTTATTTTAGGATTTTTTTTTATTTTCAGATTTTTGATAGAGAAAATAAATTTTTTTTGCTGTTCACATACTTTGAGAAAATATTTATTAATCATTTCAAAAGTACAGTTATATTGGATAAAAAAAAGTTCTCTTTGGGTAAATTTTTGTTTAAAGTTGATTCCTTTACAAATATTTCCCAAATTTTTTTTCACAGAAATAAATAAAATAATAATTTATTCTTATTATGTGAAATTCTGACTTTGAAATTAATTTCAAGTCAATTAATTTCAATTCAATTTGTTTCTACTCATAAATTTGCTTTTATGTGAAAGTTTCTAAAAATATGAAATTATTATGAATATTTAACATTGAAATTATTTAACGAATAATTTACTTTGAAAAATATTTGTTAATCATTCCAAGCGTAAAGCTATTGGTGGAAAAACAGTTCTCTTTAAGTAAATTTTTTATTTAAAGTTGATTTTTTTTACAAATATATTTCCCAAATTTTTTTTTACAGAAATAGATGAAGTAATAATTTATTTCAAATCTGAAAAAATTACTATTTTCTCATTTCACTTTGTATTTTTATAAAAATTTTTACAATTAACTGTATTACATTAAATGTACAATACATATTTTTTCTTTAATTAATTGTGAAAAAAATCATAATTACCACTCATTTCGTCTAAAAAAATTAAGTTTCGCGTGTTAAAAAGCTTTTACTGACAAAGAGAAATAAGTTTTTTTTTTCTTCTTTTTTTTCTTAGTTAATAAGAAAAGTTCCATCAAAACTTCTTTCCGTGTACTTTTGTGAAGAGCAGAATTTAAAATCGAGTTATAATCAAGACATTCGCAAGAGGAAAGTCGAATTAAATTTTTACTTCAAAGAAACTAAAGATATAAAGATTGTAAACCGCAATTATTTATTTATTTCTTTTTTGCTCCCAAAAGAAAAAGAGGGACAAGTATTTTATTTTAACCCCAATGTTATGCTATCAAGTTTCGTTTTTAAAAAACTTGATTCGATTCTAAAAAAAATTATTCAAATCGAAAAATATTATAAACTAAATTCGAAAAATTAAAATTCTTCCAAAAAGGTGATTTTTAAAATATTTTTTTGAAATTTGTTTTAATCAATAATTATTTTCCTCGTTGGTTAATAAGTAATTTTGCTGAATGTGAATATATATTAAATGTAAAATATCGAGAAAAAAATTATCGATAGCGCCAACAGTGAACACAAGCCGCATTAATGGAGATGGCGAATCCTTTGGTCTCGTATAATATATATGTATATAAAGAAAAGGACAGAAAGAGAGTCAAATGGGCAATTCACTTTGTTTCTCTCTTCGCTCTACACGCAGTAGTCACAATCGTACAGTACAAATGGTGTAAATGAAATTTGCGATGCTCTCACGAGCGTATTAAATTACGCTAAAATCGCTGGAGGACGAGGCGAGAAGTTAAACTTCAATTAAAAGTGCAGCTCGACGCATTATTGTAGAATGAAATTTACATATATAATTTCGTGCGATCGTTAATTTTCATATGCTTGAAATCATTTCAAATTATAATCGACCGCAAACGAATATATAATTACTGCCTTCTTGATGGTTATATACATATATATGAAAATCATACAAAAAAGGAGAATAAATTTGACATTTTAAATTTAAATTACGTTAAACTTAAATCGCAGGGAAAATGAATTTTCGATTTTCAGCTTCTGTTTAACACCTTATAAAAGTCTGCCCATAAAGTTAAAGAGAAAAATATTTTAAAAACTCTAAAAATCACTTTTTTTCCGTCTTAACCCCCCACTTTGCTCAAAATCCTAAAGCGCTCGACAATTTTAGCACCCGGGATCGAGTTCAGAGGACAAAATTAAATTAAAAATGACACCCATATTGAAAATCACGAAAAAATTATTTTTGGGGTTCCTACCCCCACTTTTTTCAAAAATTTCAATTTTTTGTTTTTGCGCACGTGAGTTTAAGTTTCAAGTTTATACTTAAGACCTTATGGTAATTAGCCTGTCAAGTTAAAGAAGAAAATATCTTTTAAACTTTCAAAATCACCTTTTTTGAGTATTTACCCCCACTTTTTTCAAAATCCTGACGTACTAGACATTTTTAATACCCGAGATCGTATTCAAAGGACGAAATTATATTGAAAACGACTCCCATATTGAAAATCAGGAAAAAATTATTTTTGAGATCTTTACCCCCACTTTTTTCAAAAACCTAAATTTTTTTGGTCTTACGCACATGGGTCCTTAAGTCGACGATTGAAAATTTAATTTTGGACGTCATGGAGATATAATTCTACACATATAATATAAGTAAAATAATTCTACATAGAGATAATTAAAAATTTAGAGACATTGATTTTAATTTACGTTAAACAACGCTTTTTACTTTAAGGTTATGTTCGAAGGGCTTGCGAATCCCCTTTAAGCGCTATGGGAGTAGCAATTTACGAAAAAGGTTGACAATTAATGTCTCCATTATCTCTATACAAAATCAGGGTACAGTACATCATTATCATTTTACCACAAACTGTTACTTTGATCTCTGTGTATTTGGCACTTTAACTTTTCACGTCATCAACTATGGATTTTGAAATTTTCCCAAACAATGTCTGGTTACCTCTTGTTAACTTTATGGGTTTGACAACGCCAAATAGCGTCCATCAAGGGATTTAATTACATTGCGCACTAAATATTCTCAGTCAATATAATAATGTTAATTACTTAAATGTGATAACTTGTTCCTCATAAACGGACCATTTTGTGTTGAATATTATCATAATATCTCGTTTAATGTAATTTCCACATTTTTTATACAAATTTTCATAATTTTTTATTGGACTATTCTATTAATTGTTTTAATTTTTTTTGGTCGCTATATTGGATCCGCCATTTTGAATTTTTAAAAACTGAATTTGTATTCGTAATCAGTGACTCAAAAAACCCCCGAATAACAAGATTTAAACGAAACCGCTAAAAAATAAAAATTCAGTCACATTCGATCCGCCATTTTGTATTTTTAAAAACTGGTTTTGGATTTGCAATCACGTAGTTCAAAAACCTTGCGAATAACTAATTTGAGGATATTTTAAATTAAATTCGAATTTTGTCGACGAATTACAAAAAATATTCATAGGATTACGATTCCAATACTTTAAAATCTGCAAATTTTGCGAATATGATAATTTTTTTTGCTTACGATAACTTTTATAAAAGATATTAAAATTGATAGTTCAAATTTGCAACTCTTCGTATGCAAAGTATTATAGTAAAGTGTGGGTGGCAATGGGAGTCTTTATTCAAAAATCGAGAGCAACTTGGGAATATGGAAAAATAAAAAAATTCATCGAGAACAAAAAAAGTAATGCTGAATTCTTTTATTTAAAAACTTCATTTATGAATTTTTATATGTCAAAAAGAATTCTATACAATTGTACACAATTTTCCCACTTGGGCGGTGCCCAACTTTTTCATCCTGCTTTTTATTTCTCGCAAAATTTTTTTTTCCTTTATAAAATGTCAACTTTTCACATATTCAACTATTTTCGTATTGAAAATTTTTATTAATTTTTCTATATTCTATTTTTTCCCTGATAATATTAGAAATTTACAATATTTTATTTAAAACTATTTCTATAAAAAGCTATTTATATATGAGAGTTTTTTGAAAGTTAATAATTTTGTGAAATTCTAACTTTAAAATTAATTTCGAAAAAAGTTTGAAACACTTGTTTTTATTCATTTTGCTTTTATGTGAAAGTTTGTAATTATCTGAAATTATTATTTTAAATTCGAATTATTATCAAATAGTTGTTAATTAAAAATATTCATTAATTTGCGTTTATGTGAAAGTTTCTAAAAATATGAAATTATTATAGAAATTTTGTAATATTTGAATTATTATCAAATAGTTATTGTTTAAAAATGTCCATTAATACTGTTTGATTTTCTTTTGTTTTCTAAAAGTAATTACAATCTCCGATAATATGGAAAGTTTCGAAAAAAAATTTTAAATAGCAGGAAATTATGAGTTACTGATGAGAAATTCTCCAACTTTTTGTTGCATATAATATTCTTTGTTGGTATTAAAAAAAAAGTTGCTTTGAATAATAAAAGAAAACATTAATTCAGAAACAGCAATAAAAAGTAAACGTAATTGTAAAATTGTGATAAAATAAATAATCTTTTTTTCCTTATAGACCGTAAAATTAAAATTAAATGTAAAATGATAATTAAAATGTTTTTTTTAAATTTCCATTGATTTTGTTTTTGGATAAATTTGTAATAAAAAATTTTGTATTCAAACACACCTTAATGGGTTAAATTTGCAGAAAATTGAAAGTCTTTTTTTCATTTTAATTCTCTATTTGGGTGAAACTACTTTTCGTTTAGGAAGAAAAAAATTTTTTTTGGCAAGAATTTTAAGTCATACACGATTGTATAATAACGCCACGTGCTCCACCCTTGTAGCTGAAAATTTTTTTTCACCGTCTCTACTCATCTCTATATCCTTTTATGATGAGTTTCATCTTCACAGTAAATATCACTTTCACTCACTTAGCACATTTTCATGCGTACATATTTTTTTCACCCTTAAATCACAATCACCTCGGTGTCCACGTGCCTTTTTTCACTGTAATCACAATTATGTTCATTTTTTCATTTTTATGGTTTAAAAAATTTTTTTTCGAAATTTCGTTACATAGTTTTCATTATTTTCGTATTTTTCCGTTTGCTTTTTTTATCTCTCGAGGATGAGACAAAAGCTTTGTGAAAAGGAACGGTAAATAGAAATGCTCTCGTGGTGGAGCGCTCGAGACAACTGCGCGAGCGCTTAGCTAAATTTCCAGCCTTGGTGGTTGGAGGAGGTCGACTCTTGCCACCTCCCGAGAGCGCCGACCGCGACCGACGTCGAACCACCCTTGGAAACGATCTCGAACCACCCGATAACCACGAACCAATCGAAACTCTATACTATCGATGGAACTTTGAATATGAAACAAAACATGTTAGGGGGGCATATACAATCAACGGAACAAAACATAAAACTTTTACTAATTTTTTGTTTTGACAAAATAGTTCATTATTTTGCAAACAAAATTAATTTTTGCACGTACCCACTCATTTCACTTTTTCCAAAATTAAAATTAAATGTTTTAATGTGAAAGTTTCTAAAAATCTGAAATGGTCGCCATATTGAGTCCGCCATTTTTGTTTTTCCAAAGATGTTCAGAAGACGTCCTAAGGATAACTGAGGTCTCTGTTCCAACTGGGAGGTTGAGAATTGCAAAAACTTTTAAAATTGCAGTAAGCATAAATACAGACTCTGCAAATATACAACAATTTTAATAAATATTTTTCACTATAAACATAACACTTTTTTTTAAAGTATCGATATCTTTGCTGTCTCAAATATCGATATCCCATTACATGTTTTGATATTGCATGCTGCTCTCTCACTCTCTCACTTTCCAATCGCAAACAAGAAACTCCTCTTGAAGCGAAGCATATAGGGGATCGGTTCCATTTTCTATTACTGTGTATGTATGTATGTGTGTTGAGCAGGGGGTTGAATAGAAGCAGAAAAGAACTCTCTCAGGAGGGTTTTTCTATTTTTCTTTTCTCGTCGCACTTCGACGACTCCAACTACGAACGACCGCCTGACGCGATAGAAGCGTGCAACCTGTCACGAGTTCACAATCAACAGATCTTTTAAACCATTTCGCGTAGCAACTAAACTACGAGATTTACGTATCGAATAGACTAGAAGAGAAATGCATTTCATTGCCTGCTGACGTTCCCAGCAGGAGGATCGTTTTGACATTATATTTATATAGAAAACAAAATACAATCAGAAGTAAAAATCAAGTTTTCTGTCGCTCCTCTGCAAGCCCCATTCCCATTCAAGGGAAATTTAAATTCAGTGATTGTGTGTCTAATGTGTTAATCTCCTAACAACCCAAGCTCCGAGGATTATCAGAAATTTTCTTAATTTCGTTTTGGCAAAAATAGGATAGATGCATTTTTAGGAACATTAACTCAGGGTTGAAACCCTAATATATCGCCTAGTATATTAATGTAGTGTATCGGTTTCCCTAGAAACATAATAGGACAAGGATCACGCTCGGTTAACGTCAATTTTTTATTCTTCAGGATGTTGTTCAGCAACATCCCAGCAACAATCTAGATTGTTTACAGTCCATAACAGTTATTAATATTGAAAGGAATTTAATTTAAAATTATTTTCATGACAATTTTGATCTCCTGCTAGTTTCCGGCTGTGGTTACAAATATTAAAAAGCGTTTAAAAGTTTCAATAAAATTTTTTATCCTTCAGGATGTTGTTCAGCAACAATCTAGATTGTTTACAGTCCATAAAAGTTATTAAAATTAAAAGGTATTTAATTTAAAATTATTTTTATAACAATTTTGATCGTCTGCTGGCGTTCGGCTGTGGTTACTACTATTGAAAAGCGCTTAAAAGTTACAATAAATTTTTTTATCCTTCAGGATGTTGCACAGCAACGCTCCTGCAGCAATCTAGGTTGCTAACTGTCCATAAAAAATAATGAATTTGAAAAGAATTGAATTAAAACGTTTTTCTATGATAATTATGATCTTCTGCTAGCGTTCGGCTGTGGTTACTACTATTTAAAAGCGCTTTAAAGCTATAATAAAATTTTTTACTTTTCAAGAAGTTGCTCAACAACATTCCATTTACAATCTAGGTTGGTAACAGACCATAAAAAATAATAGGATTGAAAATAATTTAATTTAAATGTCTTTGTTTTTGTTAATGAATTTTCGTTCTCATTCTTAATCATTTAAAAAATTTTACAATATAACTGTTTAATTGTTGATTAAAATTTCACATGGATGTTTTATAAATTTGCCCATAAAAAACCGGGAATTTAAATTTTTAAAAAACTTGCTCTCCTGGAATGTATCTTTAGATATGCAAGCTTCTGGCTTCGATGTCCCCAAAACTATATACATAGGTTTTGTTGCTATAGCCGAATAGTCAGATATATTTTGACATCTCCAATATTTCACGCTATTCTTCCCTCTCGAATTTTTATAATACAAAGTCATCGGCGTGTAAAAAGAGTTTTTCACCAACTTGCATTAGTTCAACTATTTTAATTTATTTTTATTTCTAATTATTCTTTACTAGTTTATGAACTCTAGAACTGAAATATGATTTTTTGATTTTCAACGGAAAATTTGAGTGGTTTGGCACCCCAGACGACGTTTTACACGGCACCAAGCAAAATTAAAGTAATAACAACCACGCACAAGAATCATTATCATTATAATATCATTAGAAATTTTAGAATATTTACCCCTTGATGGCTAACTAAAATTTTATTATTCACAATGTTGTAATTGTACTTAAAAGTAATTTTAATTAACCTTTTTTTTACTAATTTTTTTTTTAATATTTTTTTTCAAATTTTGTTATCTTACTAACCAAATATAAATTACGAAATCTAACAATAACGTGAGAATAATCAATAGCGGAATTTACTGTCATTATACGATTTGCATTATATGATTCAAATGCGTTTCGTGGCTATCAGCTTGTACTGTATCGAATAACCATTTGCACAAGTAACTAAGTGCTTTCCCACTTCGACTATTTCGTCGATTAGTAAAACTCATCTCACAAAATTTAGTATATCAAGATAATAATACAAAATTAAATTCCTCAAAAACTAAATCACATAATTTTAATTATTTTATTATTAGCAGAATTTATCATTGCTTTCGAAAGAAGTTACAAAAAGTAGAGAAAATATTTAGAAGAAAGTTTTGCTTTTTCATTTTTTAGCGACAATAGAAGCGTAGATTTAACGAATTGAAAATTAATGTGTAAAATGTGTTTTCAAAGTTTGTTTCAAAGTTTCAAAAAGTTTGTGATAAATTTTAAAAAGAATTTATCAATAATTGAAATTTCGTTATATTTTTTATTCATAAAACTACTATTACAATTTTATATTTTTTTGCTTAATGGAATTCTTCTGTTCAAGTGTCAAAAACAAATTTACGTAAATGGATACTATAAAAGTTAACAAGACTTGTAAACTTGGGTGTAATTTGATATTTCTAACTTTTGACACAGGGAGTTCGAAAACAATAGTATAAAACGTTCCGAAGGGAAAAGTCTATCATGTAGACCCTTCTTTACATTATCGATCACACTTCAGATAAATAGGGTCCATAATCTTCTTTCAGACAAAATTTAAGGAAAAAACTGTAGGGTGTGCAATTTCTATTAATGGAAGGAAGTCTACTGTGATTTGATAATCAATTAGTATCCAACTTCTGCTAATTAAAGTGCTGTAGAAAATTGGCTTCAATGTCACTTCAGTCTTGTGTTGTTTTATTGTAATAAATATTAAAATATTATAAGGGGAAAATATAGGAATATAAACTGAATGTTTGCGATTTTATGGTTTATTTATTATTTTAGTTTAATATTTATTATGAAGGTAGGTAACAATGAGTACAACAATTATTTTCTATTTTTCCTTTTAAAGTATTTTAATTCGTTTTCCTTATTAAGTTGAATACGGAGTAAGACATTTTTAGTATCTAAACAGAAAAATGTTACACTTTTTATATACCTAGTTCATTAATGATTAATTGTAAGAGAAAGTAAAATTTTCTGCGCGATTTTGTAACTTCACTTCACTTTCACCTCATTCTCACTTCACTTTCACTTCATATTCATATTCACTTTTACCTCATTCTCACTTTACTTTTACTTCATATTCGTATTCACTTTCACCTCATTCTCACTTCACTTCACTTCTTATTCATATTCACTTTTACCTAATTCTCACTTCATTTCACTTTCACCTTATCTTTACTTCACTCTAATTTCACTTTCACTTCACTCTCACTCAGTCTCAATTCACTTTCACTTCACTTCACTTTCACCTTATCTTTACTTCACTCTAATTTCACTTTCACTTCACTCTCACTTCAATTTCACTTCACCTTCACTTAAGTGAAGTGAATATGAAGTAAAAGTGAAGGGAGAGTGAAATTAGAGTGAAGTAAAGATAAGGTGAAAGTGAAGTGAAGTAAAATTTAAGTGAGCGTGAAATTGAAAGTGAAGTGAAAGTAAAGTGACAGTGAATTGAGAGTAAAATAATAATAATGATACTGTAGAGATTATATAATCTAATTGACCAAATTGATTGCCAGGATATTGGTCTCCATACTCCGAAATATTCCATTATTTTAAATGAATATTCTCTCACTGTAATTATTAGTTCTAAAAAAATTTTATTATTTGTAAATAAAAAAAAAAATTTCATTCAATATAAAACATAAAATTCACTATAAAATAGTATTTAATGTGTTTACTTTATATGTTCCCTGTTACAAGAAATTGACGAATAGACTTTCTTAAGAGGTTGTTTGATACTATTTCTGGAAATTTGTCTTTACACAATGAAATAAAATCGTAGAGATTCAAGAAAATAATTACTCACATGAAAGGATATAATTCGTTTTAAGAGGATGTAGATAATTAAATACTAAAATGTACAAGTAAAAGGTATTTAATGTTTAGCTTACACAGGTGATTTAAATTTTAAATTCGTAACGATTTCGATAATTACAAGATTTTATTTAATTATACATTTGCTTCTGGAACAGAGGGTGTTATAAATTTCTAATCAATAACTTCAGTCAGTTGTACGGTGGACATCAACGAGGTTCACTTCACCTCTTTGCTCTTAATCTTCGTGCTACTAAATGGTTCCAGTAAAATAAAATTAAAAAATAGTTTATCAAGTATCATATTTAATAGCATAAAATTTAACAAAGGTATAGGAGTTGGAATTTTTAAAGAATTTAATTTTATAAATTGTACCATAAAACAAATTTTTTAAGCAGTTCACATGTTGTCAGAGCAGGGAAAAATTTCTAAGGGAAAATATAAAAAAAAACGGAATGTTTTAATTTTATGCTTTCTCTATTATTTTAGTTTAATATTTATTATTAAGGTAGGTAACAATATAGTATTTTGACAGACGGCAATCATTATTTCTCATTTTCACTTCACTTTCACCTTATTTTCACTTTACTCTCACTTCACTCTCAATTTACTTTCACCTTATTTTCGCTTTCACTTCACTCTAACTTCTTTTTCACTTTATATTCACTTCACTTTACTCTCACTTCTTTTTCACCTCATATTCACTTTACTTTCACTTCACTTTCACTTCACTCACTCTTCACTTTAACTTGACTTTTACTTCACTTTCACCTCATTTTCACTTCACTTAGGATTTATTAAAATATTAAAGTGATAGTGAAGTGATATTGAAGTAAAAGTCAAGTGAAAGTGAAGAGAGAGTGAAGTGAAAGTGAAGTGAAAGTGAAGAGAGAGTGAAGTGAAAGGGAAGTGAAAGTGAAGTGATAGTAAAGTGATAGTGAATTAATAGTGATTACCAGTTGTTTAAAAATCATTAGAATCAGTAATTTTGTGTTCCGATATATTTTATAATATTTTAATACTTTGTATTTTGATAGTAGATGAAGCAGTCTAGATATCGTGACCAGATATCCAATTCGATATCAAGGATTCAATAAATACCGAATAGTTTTTAATAAAAACAAACAGAATCCTCACCTGAAATAGAC